TTTTGGTATTAAATAAAAAATATAATACATTTGAATATTTCACGACACGTTTTTGAAAAATAATTGTTTAATAATATTATTATAATACATTTGAATATTTCACGACACGTTTTTGAAATATAATTGTTTAATAATTATTATAAATGTATTTCTATTCTTTTCGACGCAACTCTAAAGAATATTGATTGATGTCGTACACTCTTAAATTATAATAATAATTACGACAATTAAATTGTGTGAGTTACAATATATTATATTAACCGTCAATCGWATTGGTATAAATCATTATCAAAAATTATATGCAAAATAAAACTATAATAATGATGATGATGATTACGGTATACTTTATTTACACGGTCTCAATAAAAGTATTAGAACTGCATAATATTAAAATAATCGGTTTCAAACAAAGTAAATCAGAAGAGAAAATACAAACATGATATATATTGATAACATTAGTTGCGAACATGAACATTGTATACGTGACTGCGGTGGGAATAAAATATAATTTGTTTTATGGAAACGGCGAAATGGAATTCGTCCTGGTTCTGAAAACTTTTACTAAAGATCAAATTATAGTTCGATTGATGACACGTTATAATATACCAATAGACGTATAATAAAATTGAATTGACGAGTAGCAAATATTTTKATGTGTATTTTTTTATTATTATTATTACATATTATCATTGGTGGACCTACGTACTTATTACATTAATAGAACGTCACATGTGGGCATTTGTTTTATCCGATTTAGAAACGTAGTAGRTACAACATGGAAAATTGTTCGTTYACAATATTACATTTTACTATATAACATTGTCTAAAATTAGAATGAACTTACTCCTTTAAAAATTTAAAGCCCAGAATGTTATCTAATACCTATACGAGGCATCTTGGAGGATTTTATAATTTTTAAGTAAGTTATGATAATTTTTAAAACAAAGTACAGTTTACAAAATATGCGTTGTGGTGTCCTCTTGTTATCAGAATGCTATTTCGTTTTGAGCAGAGGTACGGTATTGGTTTTATCTCATTTTCATAATTCCCCGGTAATCCTTAATTGTCTTTAGCGTCTAATTACTTATCTACCTTTCCCGCTCGGCACTCTGATTGAATTATCAACGCTTATTTGACGAACGGCGGAGTGTCGCATTCTGCGCGATCCATTTAGGTCGTCTGGCCATTACCGAACATTAATTCACTTGACTCCAAATTATGTTAAACCGCCCGTGGGGACATCGCTCATCCACCACGCATAGGTTATAATAATAACAATAACAATAATAATAATAATAATAATAATATCATATTGGATATTCGTATATACGCCTTGAGGGGAGAACGCGCCTTTTTGTACGTGCTGGATTGTATAAGTGTGCCTACATAATATACGCATCGCGTCGCACAATGGGTTCATGCGGTCCCGTAATGCTCGTGTTCCGAATGACAATTACTTATTATTATTATTATTATTATTATTATTATTATTAGGTAGGTTAGGCTGTGAAGGTATAATATAGCAGTGCATTGGACTCAATATTGTTTCTTGTGTTTCCGTGCTGCGTTCGTCCTCGATGCGACGACAATATGTATTATTCGTGGAGACGACGTGTATAGTTGTCCGCGACGGGCGGGTGGGCACGTCGCAATCGCCAGCGTATTGTAGGTGTAATATACGTAGACGTAGGTCAAGTGCATAATATAATAATATTTAGAAAAAAAAAATGCATGCCGGACGTCGTCTATACGATAGTGCGCGCTATGCGCGTGCAAAACACTGACCGACGAGCGAGGAAGCACGCGACCGATCGATCGGCATTATTCCGGTTGAAAAATATCCTGTCTTTGATTACGTCTCCTTTTTTTTATAAATATATATATATATATATATCCTTCGTTTTCCGCCAGTTTTTCATTTTATTTCTCCGTAATTTGTTCGCCACAGAGTTCCTTGCAAGTGTGCACGTACGTATGTAGACGAAAGGTCGCAATCCGTTCGTCGTCGGCGGCGGAATTCCACGCGGACAGTGCCGACGACGTCTCCGAGCTGCATAATATAATATATAATAATATATTAATATATATATAGGTAGGTACACTCGAGTATTTATAATAAAATAATAAAAATAATATGTCGGTGTACAGTAAATACTAATCGAATTTTTTCTCGTCGGAATTCAATACACAGCAAAATCAGTCTCCTCGATTGCACAGGCGCTAGTCCATCATTGATTCTCTTCGTCGAAATAATAACGACGACGACGTACAAAACGCAAATTCTCTAAATCTATACGATGAACGGATTCGTCGAGCGGAAAACAGTGCGACCGAAATTCTTACCGTGGTATTCGAATATCCGTCTATACCATTCGGGAAATGCGCCGACGAAGTGTCTTCGTTCTGTTAAGGTTTATCTATGCTGATTTTTACATTTTTTTTTTTTTTATCGTCAGAGTTCATTACACCGCGAAATAAGGCTACGATTGGCGTGAGTCCAGCGGTTCACAATTAAATCATCTGGATCCCGGCGAACGGATTCGTCATGCGGTAAACGTGCGAATGTAATTATTCTCACCACGGCAGTATTTTAATTTATTTACCAGACGGGTTAAGGCTCTATTACACCTTCGCCGTGTTGATATTGTAGATCATAATGTCGTGG